GAAACAAAAGCGTACTTCTTCGTACTTCCGGTATTTCTGACACCGTTAGAAAGTGAAGATTTTTCAATTGCTCTGGAAGTCAAACACTGCTAGTTCTCGGTAGTTCTCTACGAGTTATTTATCATAAGCCCTACATAAAAGGCTAAGTGGATAGATCTCGCTGCTGCGATGTGTGGCTGGTTTCAGTTTTTCTCGCGGCTGCGGCCATCCCAGTCTCTTTAGATTTTTTCATTAAAACTTGTTGAGTACTGTTCTCAGCTTGAAGGCATATGTTCGGTTTCTGACGTGATTTAGAAAATATTCCATTTTTTAATAATTAGTTCATCTGCCTTAGATCCGAACTTTAAAATCGTGCATCGTTTATGCATATTTTTCAGAGTATGATTTCGATATGGATTCTGATATTAATGCGCTATATTTGTAACACGAACAGAGCTACATATATTTATAGTATATGCAATTTTTTCAATATCGCATAATCGGCAGGGTAACATTGTGCCGATCGGAAAGGCTTTATAAGGGATTTGCAAAGCCACCCGTTTGGGGTAGAACTGTGTGGTGCCTGACTTGTACGTTTCTCGGTTAGTCGATACCGCTAAGAAGTCGAACGATCTTCATCCCTGGTTGGAATAGAAAGTAACCAAGTGGATTCTAAGAGGTGTGTTGCAGTTGAACTTCGTCATAAGCAATTGTATATTTGGATGTCATGAAGTTTTAACGCTGGTATAATAATTGGTAAGTAGTTTCAAAGCAGAAAGCGTGCATCACGCTATGCTCACAGTGTCATTATGCACAGAAAGTGGAATACCAGCGTAATACCCGGTTTTGTATCGATATCATTCACTACCTGTTTGCTGCAATATCATTGTAACTTCCGTTTACATAACTTTTTTTCATATTTTGCATGTTTTTTGTGCTTTTTCTTTGTATAAGAAGAGCACGTTCAGTATCTGAGCTTTCTTTTTTTTGTATGATACAGCTTCTATGGTATGATGATATACGGTGTGGTTCCATGATAGTTTTGAAATTCAGTGATTATGCTTTCTATCCTTCTGTCGATGTCAGAATTACACATGCTGCCGCGTTTTCCACTTTGCATGGTATTATTAGAGCGATAACATCTAAACCGTGTCCCCATGTTTCGTTGTTTCCTATACTTATTGGAGGTTCACCTCGTGATATAGCCCGTTCTATTCTATTCAGGTTTCGCGTATGCCGCGAAATGGTCGTAAACCTTGCGTACTTTTTTACTTTGTTGTCGCATATTCTGTTCTGTATGGTCCGTTTTGACTTTTTTTGTGCTGAATGATCGTTCCCTGAGATTGCCCTAGTCTGTGAAACAAGTGGGAAGGTGGTAACAAAGCAAAAGGTGCCAAACTTTCTGCTTTGTTGCCTCGACTGTAACGAGTCTTCTTGGTTTAATTTGCTTCTACGTCAATCAGTGGTTTCGCGGGTAGCTTTAAACTCGCGCCAGTGATCATATTTGAATGAGCGAATACCAGTAAATTTACTGTTTTTTTCACTCGTTGTTACGGTTTCTGAACTTTGCTTCTCAGGGTCGATACGCCAGGAGTAATTCAACGAGTCAGCCAGCTGTTTCGCGGCCATCCGAATTTGATTGTCGGCTTCAACACGTTTCTGCCACCTGGCTATAAAATCGAGGTACACGGCGATCGCGGTGAGCGGGTATCCATTTGCACACCAAATGGACAGTCTCACATCATCGCCGGTGAGGTAAGAGCGAGAAGAGTTCGGTGTCACCTGATGAGTGATAGGCAGTCAAAATTTTGAGTTGCTGTGTTGCAGGATGAACCGTCTACGAGCAGCATTAAAACTTACTTGAACGTTCCTGTATGTACAGAAAACAGGCAGCAACCGTCCCCATGTGGTAAAAACCAGCCGCCATCGCAGTCCAGTAGTACAGTTCAGCCAATGGAATTCAACCACGCCATAAACTACGTCAATAAAATCAAGGTTTGGTCGTTTACATCGATTTCATATAGTTTTGTTTCTCGCACTTTGTTTTCTACGAAATGCGGTTCTTCAGACTTTTTGCAGATTTGCATAGCATTGTGGAGGAGATTTAAATATTGCGATGTCTCCTTTACATACGTGTCATGCAGATTGATTGTCCCCATCATACAAAAGGGCCGTGCATGTGCCGGAAACCAATGGCTTTATAGTTTTCAATCGGATGTACATAGGAAGTACTTTTATAATACGACGTAATGCATGCAGTATCCGGATTCTCTCACTTCTGAAATTTCTTGTCATTTTTTAAATAGAACTGTCGAGACTGTATTTTAGTTAGTATATGCGTTTACACCCATACCTGCTATACTTTGGTGTAGTCTGATAAGTTATATACTCGATGCGCTTAGTAACAGATTATCTTACAGCGGTTATTTGTTGTTACGGGATGCTGGAACTCACTTAGAGTCTCTTATCCGTTTCTTTTTCTTTTGTATGCAGAATTGGGCCACTAATTCAGAGAATAACTTGCATTTAAGTATCTGTACGTTCATGGAAAGATCAGATCCGTGGAAATATTAGAAACTAAACAGGTAAACTAGGGTGCAATATGTGAAAACGAATGTCCTCCTGGCTAATTCGATTTTGCGGTCCACAGAGCCTTGCCACTCTGTTTGTTCAATTAACGTGTTGGTGTCAGAAATCAGCAGTAAAGATGATGACTGAATATTTTGTATGGTCGGTGATAAAAACGACTGTTTCATATATGACTAGCTGATGTAGGGATGCGTCGTAGTATGGGACTCGTTTTTCAATGCATATTTACATTCAGTGTTTATTTGTCATATTTACGATACGGCGATTTCTGTTAAAGTGCTTACGTACTGTAATCAGGTGCACATTCATTGTTTTCAGTTTTGATGCGATCTGAAATATCTGATTACTGTCTTTCCGTCCGCATATTTAACATTAAAGAATCGTGTTCGCATCGTCGTCTTTGCTATCGATACTGGACAGAAGGAATGGGTAGAACCTTTCACAACACTTGTATTATTTTCCAGTGGCTCTGATGTCTTCATGAAAGTCTTGACGTACTGATGTCGCCGTGAGAAATAATGCCACCTAAGCAGTGGAACGTAAACCAGGAAATTTTTATGCTGCTAATAAATCATATGAGGAAATATAACTGGAAATGAACAAACGAAACGATCATAGTCATTAAAATAATGCCAGCTGCACTGAGCACTGTAGGTACTAAAGCAAGGAACGATGCTATAACGGCTTGTATTCTGTGTAGGTGATATTATATTGAAATCGAACTAGTATATGAGTGTAATTTTGTTTTTCTGGAGCTGTAGGTTTTAAGGGTAATTTGTTTTGCTTGATTATTTTATGATTTCAGTTACTACTGCACTTTTTTAGCTTTTATAAAACCTTTACAATTTTCTTGTAGTCTTGGAGACAGTGAGAAAACTTTTCCAATATATTAAGCGAAATGTAGAAATTAAGCCAGATGGTCATTTAAGTTTATCTTGTGACTCAATTCGGTTCCAGCACTGCAGATTCTCTGACGCTCCTTTATACCAAAAAAATCTTTTTTCTGACCCGCAGCATTCCATAAATACTTATGTGCATATGGGTATTCTCTTAATCTGACTCAATTACATCTTTACACAAAATCCTGCATTTTGAAATACTTAGCTATAGATGCTGGTTTAAGATTTGTACAGCCTGGAAAATGTTCCACATCAACCTGGATACATCGGTATAATTCTACTGCTACGCTGATGATCCGCAGCTATTGCTCATTGTTTTTGTCGATTAAGTAAGATTTGGATATACGCGTGAAACTTTGTAAAAGCTGCAAAAATAAGACGAAGAATAATTTTAGCGCTTTCAGTATATAGTAGTTTTGTCGTTAAAGAATCTCTGTTCAACTGTATCGAGAGTACAATATTGAATTACACCTAGCATTGCCGAGATAAGCAGATTATTCATTATGATAGGCTGTTCGTTAAATTCAGGTTTGTTTGAAAGTGGTTTCGCTGGACTTATTAGAATCCTTCGATTTGCCTGTAAGAGGAGTTGTCTCTAACCTTCATACATTGCTCACTACAGTTTTCAATTAGCCACCGTTTTGTGTGGTTCTATTTCTATGAATGTTTGTCGTTTTAGAGTAATAGTGTTATCGGTAATGTAGATGAATATATTATTATGCTAGCGGTAACACTAGC